TTGAAGATGCAGGCTCTCACGTGAGGACACGAGGGAGGGACATTGTGTTCCTCTCCTTTGCTGGAACGTGGCCTGATAAAAGGTTATCTTACTTCTACTGTTAAGAGCTGGTGGATAAGGGGTCAGTTCGTTTCACCTTGGGGAAGCTAGAACCGACAGATTGCAACATTAAACAACCGAACCACACAGCTTCAAGTTTCCTCAGACAATGGCAAAAGTAAATGAATACAACGGGCAGAGAAGATAATTTTCTTTTATTAAGACAAACAGACAAACAAAAACCAAACCAAACCAACTAACAAGCAACAACCCCTGTAAGACCCAAGCAAACCATTTATTGATTGTGTGTGTGTGTGTGTGTGTGTGTGTGAGAGAGAGAGAGAGAGAGAGAGAGAGGTGTCTGATGCTCTAGTTTCTGACAGATTCTACTTAGTATTATATAGAGACTCAACTTTGCTTGTGGAGATAAGAACATATAGGTGAATAGATTGGACACCAGTCCAGCTAATATTCATATATGTATGTGTGTGCATGTATGCAATGTTTGTGTGCAGTACATTTATGTATAGATGGGCATACATATGTGTGCGTGTGCCTGGGACAACCAGAGGTCAGTCTCAGGCGTCATTCTCTAAGAGCTATCTGTCTTGTTGGTGGACAGATGGGTCCTGTAACTCATCAATTAGGCTAGGCTGGCTCTTGGCAATCCTCAGAGATCCACTTATTCCCAGCTGCCCGTGCTGGAATTATCAGTGGGAGCCACCATCAGAGTGAGCCACCAGGCACAGTTTATTACATGGGTGCTGGGATCAAGCTCAGACCCTTGTGCTCGGGCAGCAGGCGCTTCACCGACCAATCTATCTCTCCGGCTCCATAATCTTTTTCTATGAGACTCCACATCTTCCTGTCCAGCCTTGCAGTTGAAATCTACCTTCTGGAAATGTGTGTGAGCAGGATCTACCCCCAAACCCCTTCCGCAGGTGTGCGGCTCTGCAGACTCTGTTATGGTGCCATTCGACTGACGGTGTCCTGGACTTTCTTCCGAGTGATGTACAGCTGGAGGACCTCTCCTTCCCACAGAGAGCAGAGGGCCTCAGAACCTTATGGACATTTTATGGAAAGTCAGGTGTTCACCGCTCCTACCCTCCTGAGATTGTTGACTGGCCAGGAAACCAGAGCAGGTAGCTAAACCTGTTTTGTTCTTGTTATCTGTACTTGAACCATCTGGGATTTTTGCCTAGATAAACTCCAAGATCCTTCTTGGCACTGGCATCTTATGGCCTGTGTCCTGTCGGTTCCACAGCTGATTTGGGTTCAAACAGAGTCACACTAACCCTGGCATTTGCTGGTTTGTGTTCCTATGATCCTCCACCACTGCTGTGAGATCCCTCTACTCAATTCATTTCTAGAACTCCTCGAGGAATTCTTACTTGTGCTCATGTGACCCCATATGGCCTCTGCCATGTTTCCTCTTTCACTATGCCCCTCTTATTGACATTCACTGCCCAAGAAGTCACTTAAGGGTCCCTAACAGCGCCAATATCATTCCTGATGGTGCAGTTGTCTGCCAGTGCCACTGTCCCCAAGCAACAGATCCACGAGATGTTGGTCTCAGAGCTCGGTATGCCTCAATGCCTCGACACTAATACAGAGGGACAGGACTTCTTCCTTGGGTCAGCCACCCTTTGTCACCTGGTGTCCATTGATCACACAGTTAATATCCCCTGTGGCTTCTGGGCAACAACAGGTTCTTGTACCTGCAGTCAGAAGCTCTCTTTCCCTGGGACTAGGGGAGGGCTTTGCTGATGTCTGGGAAACTGGCCTCTGTTCTGTGGAAAGATCTATGCTGCCTCCAAAATCTCCTTCTCAAGTGACTCTTGCCCCACCTTTCAGTCACAACCCCTCCCCGAGACATCTGAATTCCTGTAATGAGCACTACTTGGGCTGAAGTGGGAGGATTTTGATATGCTATTTAAGGGAGGAAAAAAGAGAATCAGGAATGTTGAAGCCATTCATCTTGAAGACTATTCATGGAAGCAGGGGAATTAAACACTGTATCCTTGAATATATACCCTCCACACATGAGGCTGGGCCATTGTTTTCTTCATAATGACAGTATACCTCTGGGGTTTGCGGAGTGGACCAGGGCGTCTGCTCAGCACAATCGCACAGCGCCGATCAGGTATCAGGAGGAAATGGGAACAAAGCTGCATTGTCAGGAAGCCTGAGGGCTGACCCAAACTCAGCAGAACTCAGAAGATTATTTTGGAAAATATTTCCTATACAACTGCCTGTGGCTATTCAACCTGATTCTCAGTCAGCCGGGCCTGGAAGAGGAAAAGTACTGATCGCCCAGGCGAGTGGCCTTTGTGCTGGTCTTCCATTAAGAAGACCCATGCAAACAGAAGAGTAAGGAGAGTGGGCTGAGCACCAATTCAGGAGGAACCCACAGTTCTGCACTTTGTTTTTCTAGCTCGAAGAGCAGAAGCCATCGAAGTGAAAGAGAATGATCTAGTTAAGCATGTGTTGGGATTAAAGACTTCATGCCTGGCTACCTGTTCACTGGATTAACTGGCGGCTCAACGAGGGCAAAGGGGACCCCGACAGGGTGAATACGGGAGCTTATTAAATGTGATTTGTTGCCTGAAAAGATTGCCACCGCAGACCCTCCCCTGAGCTGATTATCATCAGCTTCTGCTCCTTTGACAATTGTATAGGATGCTCTAAAGTAGATGGGGTGCACTCGGGGAGGACACCGAGGGCATTGTGCATGATGACTGTGTAAGCTAGAGTTTGAATCAGGACTGTTAATAAACCAATTCATTCCTTTAGGCATGCAGAGGAAAGAAAATTTGGAGGAATCCCATAGAAAGGAGCAATGGTGAAACTCCACATGGAAAGAACAGACCTGCCACTCACGTCACTTCGCAGAGATGGCGGTGACCTCTAGGAGTCATTTATTCCTTCATTACCCACCCATTTACTCCGTTGTTACCATTCGCAGAGCCCTGTGATTGCTATGGAACCACATAAAGAAAACTTGCTGCTTCCAGGAGCTTTCAGCCTGGAGGGGGAGGCAGCCTAGCAGGCCACAGAAGCGTTGTGTAATGGTATTGTAAGTTCGAGGAAGGCGAAGCACAAGGTGTTATGAAAACAAATAGCAATAATGGTCAAGGGTTAGAAAAATTTCCATGAGGACAGCTGAGCCCCCTGAGGGATTACCCAGAGGCAGGGGTGGGGTGGGGAGCTGAGGGACACTTAGGCAGGAAACGATAGATAGCACGAGTGAAGGGAGAGGCAGCCAAGGGAATTGGGCTGAGAACTGAAGCGATGAATGAATACAAAAGAGCAAAGATAAAGACAGAAGAAACAAAACAAAATCAAACCTAGAGACAGTCGGGTGAAAACCTGCTCCTGAGAGCCACCATCAGAAGCTGGAGCTTGTGCACAGGGCCTCTCTAGCATCCTGGCTCCAGCCACAAGAAAACTAAAAGACTTTCTGTGGCTGCAGGAGCTGTAGTCCTCCACTCCACATCCCCAGGCTATAGCTTGGGGCAGAAGGATGCTGTGTATTTCTATTCATTCATTCATTCATTCATTCATTCATTCATTTTAAGGCAAGGACCCACTATGTAGCTCAGGTTGTTCTCAAAGCCTTCCAGGTGCAACAGTCCAGGTGGATGCCACTAGGCTCAGTTGGGGAGTTCTCTATAATATGAATGCAGGTGTCAAAGGGGCCAACAGCAATGCTGGAAGGAGGGATAGTGAGGACAATCGAGCACTGTGATGGAACAGGTAATGTCAAGACACATTGTATTTCTTGTTTTATTTAATATGCCAGTGCACCTAAATGATGAGTAGTATTCTATTCTATTCTATTCTATTCTATTCTATTCTATTCTATAGAACTGTGCCCCTGAGAAGGAGAGTAATCTGGCCCCAAAGAGGAAGGTGGCAGCAAGCCTGTTCAGCCTAGGGTGACTTCCACACCATGGGGTTTCAGTATTCCCACTGTGCATCTCAGTGCTGGCAGAGTCCACAACCCATCAGGTCCAGACTTTTAGTGTCAAGAAGAGGAGACAGGGGCTCACAGAGGCTCATGGACTCTCTCTCTTTTTCTCTTTCTTTCTTTTTTTTTTAAGTAAGTTTTTGTTTGTTTGTTTTTGAGACAGAGTTTCCTCTGTGTAACTTTAGGCTGTCCTTGAACTCTCTCTGTAGAACAGACTGGCCTAGAACTTACAGAGATCCACATACCTCTGCTTCCCAAATGCTGGGATGAAAGGCCTGCACCACCGTTGCCCAGCCTAGCTCAGGGACTCTTACGCACTAGGAACTAGAATGAAACATAGGACTGATTCAATAATACTGTTCCATGAATATCTCTACTTGTCACTGTTTAAATAAATAAATGAATGAACAAAAACATTAACACACATAGTTTGTAAATTATGAGGGTGCCAAAAGGATGCATAAGTTCATACACAATCGGCATCATTTTTTTGTGAGTTTCACTTTTATTTTTTCATGAAAAATTCAGAGTGGAAAAATGTCGTGAGAAGCTGGGTATGGTGGCACACACTTTTAATCCCAGCACTGGGGAGGCAGGGGCAGGTGGATCTCTGAGTTCCAGGTTAGCCTGGTCTATAGAGCTAGATCCAGGACAGCTAGGACTACACAGAGAAGCCCTGTTTTAAAAAACCAGATCAAACCAAACCAACCAACCAACCAGACAAATAAAAACCCAAAACTCCCCCAAGGACACATTTTTGAAGGAAGCAAAATTTGTTTTTGTTTTTAAATTTGGAATTTTTCACTTTTAGGGCTCTTAAGGGAATGCACACTTGTATGGAGCATCATATGCCTTTTGTGTGTCCTTCCACATCCTTTTAATAGAATACAAAGTCCTTAATTCTCCAGTAAGATGTCATCTTCAGAAAACTATCCCCAATCTTGAACTAGTGGAAAAGTACGAAGCGACAGGAAGATCAAAATGGTACCCACTGCTCCATCAAAGGGTGACTTTGACATTTGCGGTCACACAATTGCTTCAAAGTAGTTTGGACTGTAAGTATATGACTTCCATCTTCTGATGTCAGATTCAGCATCTAGGAGACAGGGATAGTGTACCTGATGTCCCCTGTGGTCTCTTCTAGCTTTAAAATTCAGAAAGATAGTCGATTTTGGAGGTATATTCACAACCAACCCACCCCCTCTTGATTAATAGCCTCCAGCTATCAATCTCACCTGCTGGCTCCTTGAATTTTAATTTCTAGCCTTTCTGTTCCTGATCTTGAAAGGGAACAGGCAAGATTTTTCAATTCCTGGGCCGGAGCGCCCCCTAGGCACGTAGAGCTAAACTGTGACGTGCTTGGACGGACTCAGGATTCTGGGAAGTTGATGTCTATGGTCAGCAGCAGGTCCTTGAACTTCCCTGTTCCTACTGTGAGGCAAGCACCGCGGGACTTTCCTGACTTGGGCAGAGAGGGTGCAGGAGGGGGAAACGGGAGGAGGTGGCAAACTCTGTCCAAGTAGGCACTACAGAGGCTAGGCAGGGCTGCTTCTTTAAGGGATACATAGGGTTAGATTGCGGGGTGGGAGATAACGCTAGAGACTCCGCAGATACGGTCCAGCATGAAAAATTCAGCCCCGCAGCGAGTGTACCAGAACTGAAGAACCATCGTTTAAAAAAAAAAGTTACTGTTAGAGCCAGGTGGTGGTGGCGCAGGCCTTTAATCCCAGCACTCCAGAGGTAGAAGCAGTCAGATCTCTGAGTTCAAGGCTAGCCAGAACTACATGGCAAATTCAAGGACATCCAGGGCTACACAGAGATACCCTGTCTTGGAAAAACAACAAAATATCACTGTTAGAACAGGACACTCATTACAGCAGGTCTATTCCTTGGAATATATATATATATATATATATATATATTTTTTTTTTTTTTCCTTTCCGAGACAGGGTTTTTCTGTGTAACAGCCCTGGCTATCCTGGAAGAAGCTCTTGTAGACCAGGCTGGCCTTGGACTCACAGAGATATGCTTGTCTCTGTTTCCTGAGTGCTAGGATTACAAGCGTGCACCACCACTGCCCGGCATGTTTATAACATTTTTGCTTTATTTTAATTTCTTTTACTGTTTTTTTTACACTTATCTCCTATATTCATAGCTCACAAACCAAAGCTTTGTGTCATATGGTATGTTACTATGAGACATTTTGTCTCTCTATGTTTTCTGTGAGGGTGTGTACAGTGTATTTGGTGGTGATGTAGTGTATATGACATGTGTGAAATATTTATCTGTGTGTCTCTGTGGTATATGTATGTGATGCAAACAGCATATATGTGTCATATGTGTAATATTATGTTTCTCTATGGTGTGGTCTATGACTGTACATTTGTGTGTTCATGTTTCTGTGTGGTGTGAGTGTTACTGTGTGTGTGGTATGTATATCTGTGGTGAATATATTTCTGTTTTGCCAGCGTTTACATGGTCTCTGTGTGTGCAAGTGTGTGTGTGTGTGTGTGTGTGTGTGTGTGTACTGTGTGCATGTTTACCAACTCTAGTGTCTCCAGTCCAAATTCAGGCCTCAGTAACATTCTAGAAAGTGAGATTTCCCAGGAGATTCTGAGATTGCGCCCAGCATCTAAGACAGAGTGGGCAAAGCACTTTCCCTGCTAGATGTCTGAGAACCTGCACAGTACTGTGTGCTGCGTGGGGGGTGGTGGTGACTTGCTTCTGCCGAGCCCAGCGTCTGCGGTTATCAGCTGTCAGCACACTCAAGAGCCATTATCGCAGGCCACAGCGCGCTCAACTTAACAGGGTATGCTTTTTTTTTTCTCTAGGATGTGTTTGTATTGTCTACTGAAGAAAGATGTGTTTCTTGGGTGGATCAGTCAGTCCTTTTCCTTGTTAGGGCAGTCTGCATCAATGCTGTCAGCCTTTTTGTAGGAGTAGGAAGGGCTGGCACAGATCCAAATCAGCAAAGTGCCCTTTCCCCTAGATTCTAGCCACAGCTCTGACTTGTTGTGTACACATGGCTCTGCCTCACCCTGCACAGTGAGCATGCCTTCCCCTGGGCTGTCAGCTTCCTACCTCCTGACGCAGAAGGCGAGGCAGTCAGTGGTGAGGCCAAAGCGTTCTAGGTTTAGCTCTCTGTCTAATCCCATAAGTGAGCTCCTCCAGTAACCACCGGGAGATGTGGCCATACCCTAGGTTAGTTGCGGGAAGAGGAGGTGACTGACGGTTGAGAGCTTGACTCAGAATAAGATAGAACTGTGCTCATCCAGTCTCACTCCTTACTCTGTGACTGGGATACCTAGGACCTTTCTTTGGGCTTTGCTTCCTCGCTTGCACCTGCCTCACTGAGTGCTAGGCAGCAAACTTGGCACAGAGTTCATAGCTGAATCCTTAGGGCACAACCTTTAATTCAGTGTGTGGATTGTCTTACTGGACCCACGCTCCTTCTGAGGGAGAAGAGACTGGGAGCAGTGTGCCTCCCAGAGTCCTCTGTAGTCAAGGTGCTAGAAATAAAACATCTTCTCTACTCAAAGAAAGATGTGCAAGCCTGGGGTTGGGGTGTGTGCAGTCATGTGTGTTTGGGGGTGTGTATCCATGTGCAGAGGGCAAAGCCAGAGGAGGATGTCACATGTCCCCTGTTCTATCACTTTCCAACTTTATTCCCTGGAGACAGTCTCTCATTGAACCTAGAGCTAGGCAGCAGCCTGCAAGCCCTGGGGTCCTCTTGTCTCCTCCACCCTGTCCCAGCTCTGTGACCAGGTTCTCCTGTAACCACAGCTGACTTGTTACACGGAGCCTCCTGCTTGCAAAACACGTGTTCTCACCTGCTGAGCTATCTCTCCAGTTCCACAGTTTACACACCTCAGTTCAACCCCCCCCCCTCCAGCGGCCAAGATCTGTTCATCTCTGACCCTGCACACTCCAGCTTCCAGTGCCAGTAAAACTGGGGTTCCCTTTGCTTGGGGCTGTCTTTCAATATCTTACGAACAAACAAACAAAACCCACCTCTTTTCAGGAATTGAAATACTGAATTCTTTACACATTTGAAAAGTACATGTGTACACTTCCAGTATGCTTCTGAAGTATCCTCAGGTACAGATGCATCTCCAAATGGAAGGTACAGCTTACCCACTAGCAACAGTTGCCCTTGTTAGGGACTTGAGCCCCTTGGGTTACAGAAAATAAATGCATTTTGAATTTGTGTGCTTAATAATTTATGGAAAATGTTTAAAAACAAGCAAGCAAGCAAGCAAGCAAGCAAACAAACAAACTTCCCAGTTGCTCTTCCAAGGGACCCAAGTTTGATTCCCAGCACTCACATGGTGCCTTACAATTGTCTGTAACTTCAATTCCAGGGCATCAGACACCCTCTTCTGGTTTCAGGAGCACTAGGTATGCATGTGATACACAGACATAAATGCAGGTACAATACCCATACACACCAGATAAAATAAAAACATTTAAAAAATCTCCCAACCTCTCATTGCATGTGCAAGACATTTAGGAGAGGTGTTCTTTCTCAAGGGAGTTGGTTGCAAACTGTGCGTGGTGGCCATGTGCCTTGTCCTTCCATGACTTAGGTTCTGGAAACTTGACGAGGGGTGATGAGAGAATGAAGAAATGACGAGCACAGAGACATAGGAAAGCTAAGATTGGATGGACTGGGCTCTCTGATGAAGAAGCCACAGCACCCTGGAAGTTCAGTTTGTTTATTATATACATGGTTGGGGAGGCAGAGTTATTGCACAGCTGGGCTAGGAGATGGATTTAGCTCATCTCAGTAGGGACAGTCTCTGTAGGGGAGCAGTCTTCAGGCCATAAAGAGCTTGGGGGAGAAAGCTTTGGTGGACATGTTCTGTACAGACTGTCACAATTTCAGGCCAGCAGGGAAGACTTGGCCATTTCTGAGCCCAGCAGGGACTTTGCCACCCCTATGGGGCTGAGGTATTGTGGTCTTCGACAAGATGGTGCCCATATCAAACAACACCCATTCACTCAGGACTTCACTGCCTCCCTGAATCCATGTCTATAATCTTAATACTCGGCCATGGAGTCAGAGTTAAAAGTTCAAAGCCAAGGGTCAAGAGTGGTGTGAATGCAGTGCTCATGAATGAAGTTCTCAAAATGAATAAATAAACTATTTTTGAAAAAGTTTAAGGTCATCCTTGGTCAGTTATTGTATAAACTGACGCCATGACTGCTTCATGAGTTTGTTAAGGGGGAAATTTTCAGTGTAGATATGAGAAAGAACAGTCAGAGGCATCAGGAAGAGTCTAGAGCAGGGAAAGAAAGTAGGAGACTGAACATGGCCAGCTGACTGGACCCAGTCATGAGAGAAACAGGAAGGTAGGAGCAGAGACTGGGCTGGGGATGGGATTGGAGGGAGGAAGAGAATATGGGAGAGCAGAGAGGAGAGGGAGACAGAGAGCAGAAGACAGAGTGAGCATATCAAATAGCAGGGTTATAGGAGGAGTAGCTGGGGGAAGGGAATCAAATGAGCTGGGGAAGTTTAGGGTAGGGGAGGAGGTGAGAAGAGCTAGAATGCTAGCCTGGTCTTTGAAATCTGTACCTGGTGCTTGATGGCAGAAGATACAAAATAATCCAGAATTACGTATAATAAAGGGTTATTGATTTAGTGGAGACTTACATATCACTGTCCTAGATCACGATCCTCTGCACGAATGGGGAACAGGAACAGAGTCTAGTAGCCCAAAGCAAGAGAATGAACACAGGCTTTACAGGAGCATTTGTAGTATAAGAGACCACACCCAGGTGGGCTGGTATCTTAAAGGCTATTGGCTGAAGGAGCAGAAGGAGCTCCCACAGCAGGTACTTGTGAGACTGAGGGAGACTAGAGGCCAGCATATGTTTTGATATCTAATAGGCACTACAGATAGCCATTTGCCCCTTCTGCCTTTTGGAATTTCCTTTGGACCTGACAGCTCTGAGCTAGCATGAGACAAATATAAGAAATCTGTCTATACACAAACACACACACACACACACAATTAATTAATTAATTAAACTTTATTTTAATCATAGGAGTAGGTTGTAGCCAGAGTTCCTGATCTGGGCAACCATGATTGGTAATGGGCACATCTCCCAGATTCTCAATGCATGCGACATCTCCCAGTTTTCCTTCTTAGAGCTACTGGAATAAAGTTCACAGGCATTTCTCTCTTCTTATCCTCTACCTACCTCGAACATGAGTGAGGAGCCAGTGTTGTTTTCCTAGGCTGCATGAGGAGCCTAGGGCCACCTGTAGTATCAGTAGGGGTGGGAGAAGCAGGGTCCCCTGAGGATGTGGGGTCTCACTCTAATCCCCTCTCTTGGCTTCACTACCACCTCCTAATTTTCAGGTTTTGGGTCATTCGACATTTTATAACTTGAAAAAGCAGAAGCTTGATTTTTCTTTCCTTCCTTCCTTCCTTCCTCCCTCCCTCCCTCCCTCCCTCCCTCCCTTCTTTATTTCTTTTTTTTCCCCTCAAGACAAGGTTTCTCTATGTAATAGCCTTTGCTGTCCTACAACTTCCTTTGTAGACCGGGTTAGCCTGGAACTCACAGAGATATGCCTACCTCTGCCTTCTGAGTGCTGGCATTAAATTAAAGATATGCACTATCACACCCAGCTAAATTTTTCTTTCTTTCTTTTTTCATTTTTGAAAGAGTGTTCTCAACTCTCTCAAGGTTGACTTTAAGCTCTGTGTAGCCAAGGACCCTCCTGTTAAATTGAACTCAAGAGCACAATGGAGTCAAGAGAATTTTTGGATAAATCGCTTGTATACAAAGCTGATTAAGTAAGCATGTTGGGGAGCTCATAGTTCCTCAATATGTACATGCTCTATTTAGATGGAGGTGACCCCCAGTTCCAAGTACCCTGCTATGCCAAGCAGTGTGGCTGAGACAGCAAGGACCCAGTCACACACTAGGTAGATTCAGTTTCTGCTCTTTTGGATCTAAAGCTCTGACTGGTCATTGTCTGTGTCCCTAGATTCTTCTTCATTGGGACATGACTTCCTGGGGGAGTTGAACTGGATTGTCCACTGTTCTCCCAGTTTCCCACCTTTATCTCCCTGCCTCCAGCTTGGAAAAAAATTAAACTTTTTTCATTTCAAGATAATTGCAGTCCTGTACAGCTACAAGTGATAGAGAACTGAACTCAGGTCCTCTGGATGAGCAAGAAGCACTCTTAACTACCGAGGTGTCTCTCCACTCATGTTGTCTTTTAATAGACTCTTACCCCCAGTTCATGAACTATGAAATTACTATTCTATTCTCTGTTTCTAAAAATTTATCATGTCAAGAAAAATGACACCAATAGAATCATCTATTATGTGACCTTTGGATTGGCTTTTGTACCCTGAATAATTCTCTTATCCTTTGGGGATTTGTGGAAATGGTTTGACTTCTCACTGGCTAGTGTTCCGTGGTGTGGCCAAAGCACAGCATGTGGGATCATTCTTTCCTTACAAGATGCCTGGGTTGTATCTAGTTTTACTGTGCTTTTTAGTGCTGGAGATCAAATCCACGACCTTACACACACCAGACAAGTTCCCTATCAGTTATCAGCCCTCTTCAATATTTGTGTTTAAGTCAAGGGTGTGTTAAATTGTACCAGCTGGCTTTGATCTCTTCGTGTAGTTCAGGCAAGCCTTAGATTTATGATCCTTCTGCCTTAGCCTCCCAAGTAGCTAGACTGTAGTAGACCTGTGTTATAATTGTAGGCTTTATTTCCGGTTTTTGATTGTTAAAAACAAATCGGTTATTTTATAGGTTTCTGAGATGAATGCCCAAGCATGAAATTGCTGGGTTTTATGTGGTTTTCTGTATCACTGAGCATGCCCATCAGTGATTTTGAGTGACTGGCTTCTGCACAGCCTCACCAGCAGGTAAATGTTTGACTGGCTGTTCCACCAGTAACTAAAAGAGTGGGCATCTAAGGGGGATTTTATCTCTTGTTCCCAGCAATCTCTTTAGTCATGTGCAGATTAACTTCCATTCAACCCTGGCCAGGTTCAAACCTGCCTGAGACCTCAGCCATGGTCAGTCAAAGCCCTAGGCCCAAGTCACAAGTTCTCTATATATAGTGAGATATTTTAGGGTTTTTATCCCGTGGTCACTTCTAAAGAATAACCATCCCCTTATTCCCTCCTGAAAGGTACCCCAGAGGCCAGTTTGTACCATAGGACTCTGACCTGCCTATGTGACATGGAGGGGGCTTTCTGTAAGCCTTTTAGAGACAGCCCAGTCCTTTCTCTTTGTGTGTGATCACTATTTAAAAATCCCCATCTGATAGCTCTCTTCTGTAGCTACAACCTCTACAGCACACATTCCTTTTAAGTTGCTTATCTCAGGTACTCTTGTTGTATCAATGCAAAACTAGCAAGATACTTTCCAACAACAGTTTTTCATTTGTTGGAGATCTTTGAGTAATTATTTTAATTTTTTTGAGACAGGGTTTTGCTGTAGTTTTATTTTTTTTCTTAGAAAATTTAAAAAATGATTTAATGAACCTGTTCTTACAGTCAGTGAATGCTAATTTTAGGGCCATAACTGGTGTCCTGAGAAGAAACTAATCAGAAAATGTCATATGTATCTCTGGCAGGTAGGATGTGAATTGAGAATGGGATCAGTTATCATTGGAAACATTAGAGCACGTGCTGGAGACAGCAGTAGAGGATCTCCAAGCTTTTAAAAGGGAATTTTAAATGAGTAATTGTTGGGGTCCAGCCCAGACATAACTGTTTCTCGAACCAGAGTGGAGGCATGGGAATAATTGAGGCACAGTTCACTCAGCAATATCAGGAGGGAGTCTCAGGGTTCATTCAAATCCTGAAGATCACACCTTTAATCCCATCTCAGCTCTGAGTTGGAGGCCAGCCTGGTCTACAGAATGAGTTCCAGGACAGCCAAAGCTACAGAGAAACCCTACCTCATAAAAAAAAAAAATTACTTCAAAATAAAGAATATATGCTGCAGATATAGCGCCAATACTTTCTTTCTTATTTTGGGTTGCCATGTATCTGCAAACAGCCAAACACGGAGACCCTTGGTGGGCTCTGTCCTTGTCTGTTGTTTTCTGATATTGTTTCCAATACCCCTTCAAGAACATGCCTTTAGAACGCATGCGCGCCTGTGTATGTACTAAGAACCAAACACACCTCCTTCATCTTGTACCAGAACAAATGATTCTTGGCTGGGAGAAATGAAGAGATCTGTGTCAAACCTTGCCTTGCTAGCTTCAGCCTCTTGAACCAACCTGAGGCCATTTTTTTTTTGTTTTTTTGTTTTTTCGAGACAGGGTTTCTCCGTAGCTTTTGGTTCCTGTCCTGGAACTATCTCTTGTAGACCAGGCTGGCCTCGAACTCACAGAGATCCGCCTGCCTCTGCCTCCTGAGTGCTGGGATTAAAGGCGTGCGCCACCACCGCCCGGCCTCTGAGGCCATTTTTAAGCAAGCACAACGGCATGTGTTTTCAGACAACACTTTTAGGGGCCAAAGAGGACAGAATCTTAGGTTTACCTCTTCTCTATCCCAACCTTTAAGCTCCTTGAATCTCAGGTGCTTAGTGAGTCAGGGAGTCACCCCGGGCTTTGCTGTCTTCCCCGTGAGAATATGATGGCTCCTTGGCCAAAACATTTTCTCAGATCAAGCTACACTACATTATTGATTTTGGAAGTCCATCAAAATGCGCATAAGTATCAGATGGTACTTGTTTGTACGATCCCTAGTTGGTGGCTAGCATTTTCTAGTATTTTGTACTGTCAAACTTGTTATCATTTATAAATACAGGTAGGTGACCCGAGGCCGGTCCCACCAGGGGCAGCAGTGGGTCACCAGAGACATCGCCTGTCCCCTTGGCAGGTGAGAGACCCCGTGGGTGAGATACAGATAGATGCATAGGCCACGCAGAGAGAGTTTGTGTATAGAGTTTATTTAGTGGGTTATGAAGGAGAAGGGGAAAGGAAGAAGGCAGAAGGGGAGAAGAAAGAAGAGGGGCAGAAGCTGCCTCTCCAGAAGAAAGGCCAAAAGAGAGACTGAACGGGCTGGTGAGGAGGCAGGAGATCTGCTCGCCTCAGTTGAAGCAGGAGGGTGAGGGGGTAGGGGGTATGGGGTGGTGGTGGTGGTTGGGAGTGGGAGGGGCTTGTCTCTTAAAGGGACAGGGTACCCAGGTGACAGACCAGGCCAGCAGATTATAACAATACTAACTGTCCTTGCCCTAAACCGTCAGTTTAGCCTTCCTTTGGCTCCTCCTTCACTGAAACAAAGAAAACAATAATTTTGGTTGTCTTTATGACTTCTAAAGTCTTGGCTTTTCCTGACATTATTATGCTATTAAATCTTTTGTGTTCAGTTTTTGATTTTGAGTTGATTCCTTGGGCTCGTGAGATGACCCAGTGGGTAAAGACAGTTGCTGTCAAGCCAGAAGACCTTAGTTCAATTCCTAGGACTCACACTGTAGAGAAAAGGAGAGTTGACTCATGCAAATTGTACTGTGACTGTTCTCTCTCTCTCTCTCTCTCTCTCTCCCTCTCTCTCTCTCTCAAAATAAGTAAACAGAGAAAGAAGAAGCCACTAACCGATGGGTTTTGGAGTCAGATAAATTGGCTTAGGCATTTGGCTTCTTTATCACGTGCTTTTACCTTGAATTAGTTCTCCTGCTCACCCTTCAGTTT